CCCCCCCCCCCCCCCCCCCCGTGCTCTGGCACTGAGTTATAGTCTGTTACCTCATAGCCAACATACTTAAACGTGGCTTTACCCCCAATCACTTATAAAAGCAAGTAGGAGGAGGTTTCTTTAAAAATGAAACAGCATATAGCAAGGACTGAGGCTTCCACCCAGTTTACCACCCCACAGTTCATTCCTTAATGTTACTTTTCCTGCAGCTGGGCTCCAGCCCTGGAAATGAACCCCACTGGAGGATAGGTGGAAGGAGAATAGGAAAAGAATTTAGCATCCTCACCCATGCACCCCCTTTTCTCTTGACATTAGCTCCCTCTCCTCAGAATCCCTTTTTTGCAGGGGGATGCCAGTTGTTAAAGACAGGTATCTGTCACTATCACATATCCAGTTTGGGCCTCACGTAGCAACTTATGCATATTTACTGAGAAATTCCACAGTATTCTGTGAGATGTACTTCTAGGTATGCATGCATAGGATTGTACTCTATGCACACTTATTTGAAAGTAATCCCTATTGAATTCAGTAGGACTTAGTTCTGACTGGAGACATGTGTAAGATTGTACTGTCTTGTCTCCTGTCACAATGGTAACTATGAAGTGTTAACCGGTATACTGCAGCAATCTAGATTTAAGCCATCTCACTTTGCTGTAATTTAAATATTTATGCCTGTCAATTGTAGTAAAACTGCTCTATTTTTGTACAGCAGATTTTAGGGTTATTTTCTACATGCACATTTTTCAGTAACAGCATGAACTAGGGGATTCTATATTAAAGACATCTAATTATATGTGTAAAAAGTAATTGAAAGACTCCTCTCAGCCTGGCAATGCAAAATATTTGAACTCTGTCCCTAACAGTATGTTTCCTTTTCATCCTCTTGATTATTCTTTTTCAAGCCTGCCAGATTGAATTTTCTGAGGTTCATAAAACAGTCCAAGCAGCTTGTGGCTTGGAAAGATCAGATTCATGAATCAGATGCTCCTCATGAGCTCACTTATATTTGCACACTCTGACAAGAATAGAAAAAAGTGATGCCTGGCCCAAAGTCTTGTGCTCCTGCTGCAAGGAACATGAAAAAGTAAGAAGCATAAGAACAGATTTCTGGATCAGATTTAAAAAAAAACCTGATGTCCCCAGGAGGCATGATATTCTGGTTTCTGAAAAAAGCCACATACTGCCTTTCAAGCCATCTCTCAATTTAAGTCCAGAGCTTTAAGGAGCCCAACATGTGCCATTTATTTTTATAATCTTAAAAAACCTATCAGAGTTCATGTCAAGCATCGCATCATGGCAGTAAAGTATGGACACCTAGACACCCCCTCCCCCAATCAAATTCCTTGAATGTGAAAGGGAAATGGTACACATTCCCGAAAGTCTCCACTACAAGGCATCCTCTGTCTGGAAACAAAGTTGTGATGCTGTAAACCATCCGGAGAGTTTGGGCTATTGGGTGGTATAGAAATGGCAACACAAAAATAAGTTAATTGTGCTCTGTGTGAAGGATTTCCTTCCATTTACCCTAAAATTATTGCCTGTCATTTTCACAGTAAGTCTTCTAGAGTTGGACAAGAAAACATTTCTCACTGTGGTCCAGACATTATTTCATGAACCTCTACCACGGGGATAGACAACCTGGTGCCCTCCAGTTTTGGATTACAATTTCCTGCCCCCTCCAGGCCCCAGCCAATGGTCTGGGATTCATAGAGTTTTGCTGCAGTAGAGACATTGGTGGGCACTTGCTGTCCCATGATTGCAGGTTGCAAACCTTGCCTGAGACAAAAGCCCAATAGTGTTCTATTACAACATTATTGTAATAGTGTAGATGTATCACTTTCCTCCTGTCCGTTATCCAATAAGCCTTTATTTTTCTCAGTTTTCTACAATATAGCTACTTTACCACAAGGAGAAGTTGTAGCGTACTTTGCATTAAGGAATAAAATATGAAAGCAGTCTACAATATGGTGGAGGATTCGGACCATTCTAAGGAATTTAAAATACAAAATATGTGTGTTGCATTTTGTAGGAACTAAATAAATTACAGAGAAATGTCATTATGGATTTTCTTAGAATAGTAAAATAAATACTATGGACAAAAAGGACGTGTTCTGTGGAATGTATTTGTAGGATTTGATCAGGATTCTTAATTTCACTTGGCTGTTTGTTTCCAAATGCATACACCATATTAAGCCACCAATCCTATAAATGCTTACCTGCAAATAAGTTCTTATTGAGAAAATTACAACATGTATATAGTCTTACATTGAAAGATGTTAGTTCATTTGTTGTTCCTTATCCCCCTGCTTTGTTTCCCATTATTCATTTCTGACTGTTGAACCAAATGAATATATCCATACAGTATCCAGTGTATTATGTCTTTGTAATAAGACATAATACAAAATGTCCTATTTTGTATTTTAGACAATTCAGTTGGTCTTTCTTGTGTGGGTTCTTCAAGGTGGCAAGATGGGTTCCTCAAGTCCAAACCTGTAAGATTTCAGGACAGGAACAGGTTCTGATCTTAGTACAACATTCAGTGGAGTGCATTAAGATTTATTTAAGAACATGGGTTTTTGTGGTAGCATCCAAAGTCCTTTTTGTCTCAACTCTTTCCTTTTTGGATCATTCGTTTCTCAGAATGACAGCCCGGGACATATAATTGCGATGGCAAAACTTCCATAATTTTCTGAAGCCATCATCCTGGAAATTTTTTCTCTGGAACAACACTAGAAAGAATAAGAAATGTGGCAAAGAACGTGATGCAAAATCATATGAAGAATACAACACCAATATGCTGCCTAAATCCCCGAACAGAATAACGCAAAATTACTTAAAATTCCATTTGCATCAGACACCATCCCTTGTTAGTACTTCATGAAAAGTATGTATGTTATGGCTATATAATATTGTCTCCTATAGGCCTCAAAGGAGCAAATGGCCTAAAAAGAGAGAAATGTCTTAAATAAATGGTCACTGTGAGTCAGAAACAGCAAATAGGAGCTGAAGGCAAAGATGCAAAGGGATAGATTAAGGAAAAAGATAGAAATGAAGATAGAAAGTGATTCAGCAGGATATAGTGAGATTTTGGTCTGCAAGAAGCTGTAGGATGAATAATAAGAGCAGTCATACCAGCTATACAAGTGAGAGATTTAAAGGCATGGAACATAATTTTTGAAATGCTTTTGGCAGGACCTTTCCGTAACTGCAAAAACTTTTACACATATTTGTTACCATGCTTGTTCTGAGCATATGCCTCCGTGCAAACCTGAAATCTATTTCCACATTCAGAAAGTAAGCCCTTGAGGAACACAAAAGGGGACAAAGAATTTAGACAGGTCAAAATATTCTCTGGCCTTGGTCCTGTTTGTGCAGAAAGATGGGCTACTGTCAGCCAGGCAGAGCTGGCTCAAGATCCATCACATTTTACCAAATCAATCACATCAGGAAAATGTATATGAGTCCCCATGCATGAGCCAGAGGCTTTTATAGCAGGAAACTGAATATTTTAACTGTTACAATGATTTTAATGGTTTTAATTTTATATCTGGTTGTAATCTGTTGTTGTGCCTTTCCTATTGGTTTTGTATAATCTGTGGTTCTGTGAAGTTTTTACAATGACATGCTTTTGCTTGTGGATCGTTAAACTTTACTGTTATTTTTAGTTGTATTTTATTGTATATTTTTTAACTTAGTAACCTGCCCAGGGAGGCTTATGGCTAATGGGGCAGAATAAAAATCCAACAATCAAACAAACAAACAAACAAACAAATCACCTGATCTGCCATCAGTCAAAGCTTTCTCTCATGTTTATTTTTAAAAGACCTGGAAAAAGATAAAGCCATTTATTTATCTTCCCCAACCTGAGATAAAGCTCCTTCATTCTGGGTTCTGCGGCTGTTGAGGTAAATGTAGTCTGCTGAATTCCGTTCTGCAAGAAGTCCTTCATGTTGGAGATTGAAGCAGCAGGCACTTCATTTTGTTCCCTTTCATTTAGGCAAATGAGATGCTTCTTTTTAACAAGAAGTTAACAGCAGATGAAGCATGTACCCAAAGACTCGTGACAGAGGTTTTTGTTGACAGTACTTTCCAGAGAGAAGTTTGGGCAAGACTAAAAACCTATGCAAATCTTCCCAAAAATGTATGTGATTATAATCTACCATGGAATGCCATTCATACATCAGCAATATCTGATACTATAATAGAGTTCTATGCATCTTTACTCAGAAGCAAATCCCATTGTGGATAACAATGCTTATATGCTATTACGTGTGTTTAGGATTTCAGCCTTTATCACCTCTTTTCAATCAAGGTCACCAAAATTTGCTAGAAAAATGTATTTACATACTATCACAAATGAAGCATCAGTGTTCAAACTTAGTTGCAGATGACAGTATTTCTTAGTATCTTCCAAAAATCTGGCTGCACTTCAGTCATCCTTGTCCATGAAGACACAGTCTCTAGGCAACCCTGGTGAGATGTAGCATTTTTGCTACAGTGGCAGATGCTAGAAAAGAGTTTTCCTTTACTTCTTGCTCCTGGCCTTCTGGCCTGATGCTATTAGAATCATAAAACAAGCACCTTTGAGACTCTCACAGCAGTAGGAAAGAGCATTTGGAGAGTGCTGGCCAGAAACTCAAGAGGATGAGGAACAAGTAATAAACTGTACTTTCATTCTAGTTCTTAGTTTGATCTTTGTTCTTCATGGAAGGAAAGTACAGGATAAATATTTTAATACAAATTAATATTCTGATCAATGTTGGCTTTAGATTCCCATTACAAACCAGTTGGAATCTTCTGTGTCAATGTATCCTAACCAGGGAGGGGAACTACTTTTGGCTGGGGAGTGGATGAACTCTGTCAGCCTTCCACAGGCTGGATGACATCAGGGGGCATGCCTATATCCCCCAGTGGACTGTTGTCCTTGGCTGGCCCAGTACCTGGCTTTGCTATGCACAGTCTTTCCCCAGACAGGCACACAACAAAGCCACATTAGTTAGATGATCTGCCTGGTGCATTGGGTGGAGCAAATTTGCCTGCTGTGTTCCTTTTTCTGTTGTGGAAGGCTTGGGACAAGGAATCCAAACTGTCTCAGCCCCCTTCACTTGGAACAAAGAAGACTGAGCATGATCAGTTCCATCAAAGCTAGGAAAGCCCAAGTAGGGCAAAGCAGCCTGCTTTATGCCCATGTTTGCTGCATCAAGGCTGGGCTTTGAGTGTTCTCAGCTTGCCCTCACCTGGGAGATGCACATGCTTTCCTTTGCTGGGTAAGAATGCGCACATTGACTTTTGCCCACTTGATATGCCAGGTGGAGGATGTTTCTTCCACCTGGGACAGCAGCTTGGGAAGCACTTAACATGCCACAGACCAACCCAACTTTAATCTCTCATGGAGATTTATCTGCATATCACTCACCTTTCCAATTGAGATGGGGAGCAGCGAGTAGGGGGATCTCACCTCCTGCCCAAGTTGGGATTCCTTTCCTTATCTACTCCACATGCCCTAAGTGACCTCCAGTGTGGAAGGCTGGTGGCAGGAATCCAAACCTCTGCAGACATTATGGGGAACCTCTGCAGAATAGATTAGGCATGGAGGTCAAGGTTCCCAATCTGTCCTGAACAGAAACAGTCCAACAAAACAAGAAGCCACTGCTTGCTAGGAACAGAAAAAAGGCAACCTGTGTGTGTGGTGTGTGGGGGGATCATTTGGTCTTCATAAGCCAGCAGGCCCAGGACTACCTTTGCTATATGGTTTTCTTTGCTGAACTGGTCTTGAGAATGAGGACTGCAATAGAACATAGTTGCATTGAGTTTACACAGAATGCTTTGTCCGCCAGTATAAATGTTGCCCAGACAGGTAGAAGTTGATGGCGGTTTGTGATCCAGCCTCAGAAGACAAAGTAATCTGCTGTACCATCTCCATAGAAAAAGCAGCCCCACCTACTTTAGTTCAATACCTGTTCAGTGATTATCAAGGTGTGAATTATGATTGCTCAATTACCCAAAACCTAATGCACAAAGCTCAGTTTGTTAAGTTAGACTCTACGTCAGGTTAATGGCTCTGTAAAATTCACAATGCTTGTCTAATAAAAAAGCATCTTAAGCCTAAGGAAAAGTCAATCCTTTCTGCTGCAATTGTTTAAATAGTTGTTTTTGCTGAAAGGGATTAGTGCTGCTACCCTCCATCATGTCCTTGCTCAGCTCCCGTTTATTTCAGTGGGTCTTGGTCAAGAAAACTGTCAAATCAAATGCATAAAGGGTTGTGCCCTGGTGAGAGTAGAACTTTAAAATGTGGGAAGAGGAGACAAGGTTTCTTCTCTCATCTTGAGAGAATAATGTTTTCAGCTTTCTTTTCTACAGTCTCTGGCCCTCTCCAAACAATCAATAAGATGTGTGAAAAAAGAAATCCTGCATGCAGTCAATTCACGAGAGTGTATCCAGCTTGTGGAAAGATTCTTTTCAGATGAGTGCATGAATGCTGTAACAAGCTTCTTCCAGCGGAAGTCAAAATTATGATCTTTTAAAAAATCTCCATTGCCCCTGTGGAATTTTTATTTGTATGTTCCATATGTATTTTCAGTCTGTTGTACTTGAACAGGGTTAGGAATAACATATCGTAAGATGCATGTCATTCCTGATCTGACTGGTCTTACTGCTTGCATGAACTGGCCCTAACATGGCAATCAGGATCCTTTTGAAGTGCTGCATTTGTGCAACAGACAAGCTCTGTATCATAAACATAGTCCTTGGTAGGGGTGTATTAGCTATACTGTCCATGGATACTAGATGTAAAATCGATTTACTGTATTGCATCAAATCCTTGACTGGCTTTGTTACTGTTTATGAGTGTGCTTAGCATTTGACTCTGTATAAGACTGCTTAGAAGTGCTTACATTTGTACTGGTGCTGTAAGAGGAAACCATGTGTTTTATAAAGGCATTTATGGACAGGGGATCACATTCACAAGAATGAGGAGATGTAAGAGTAAACTCACAGAAGACAGTATCATGCACTGGCTGACATGTCAGTGGGAAAGAATAATGCAGTGAGACATGGATGCTGGTCCAAGGAGATGTGAATTTGGCATCTCCAAGGAAAAGCCCTTTATTTTGAATGTCAGTAACAATTTTAGTTAGAAAGGGAAAGGCACAGAATCCATTCCTTTAATTCAGAAAGTGATGCCTTAATTAAACAGCCATAGGAGCAGATAGAGCAAAGGCTCATGATAGAGCCTTGTGGTCTCCCATGAGCCTGACCCTGGTGACAGAATGTTACAGTGGCTGAAACAGAACACTATGACAGGGTAATCTGGAATTGTGTCAACAAAACAAAATGATAATTTTATGATCATCCAGCATGCATAAATCAAGGATTGCCTTGTTAGTGAACATGTGAGCATGATCTTGTCAGTATTCACTGGTAAGTATTCTTTCTGCTCCCTCAAAAGACTATTTCCCTACCATTATTCATTTGGCCTATAAAATGTAAAAGTAACTTTCTGTAGAATGAACAAACATGTTTGAATGTGTACAAAAGCTCCCAATTGTGAACAATTCCATAATGCTGTCGCTTTAAAAATGATATAACAAAGCACCCAAGATTGTGTCTACCAACTTATTATCCTATTTTTAAAAATCTGTTATACAGAAATATGGATGCAAAGATTTGATGTAAGAATAAAAGGAATGACAATAAGCCCTTAATCAGGCCTTTCTGTGTATGCAAAAAATTGCTGCAGAAAGAGAGTATCCAGCATACAGATCTTGAGACTTTTCATCTTTATTTTCTAGACAGCAAGCAGATACTTGCAGATGTTTATCAGAAATGTGTAGGTCTTCCATTCACTTGTTCAACTCCTTCTCTATTGTCATATGGGATGTTAACACCTGAAATACCTAAATAGTGAAATAATTCCCAGAGGATATTTTTTGTTTGAATGCTGTGTTCTGACAACAGAATATAAATTACTTTATCACAAAATAGGAATTATGTGAGAGAAATTTGGATACAGCTGTACTTGCATAAAGAATTTATCAGGGCTTCACCTAATCTGATTGCATGTTTTTGCATATCCTGTATAAAAGAATTCATACCACTGTTGTTCTATAGAGTGCCATGCACTTCACAGTGAACTTAATGTCATTAAAAAGTTGCAGTGAATTGCAGCAAAGTATTACATTCCCCAGCCCAATCTAGAAAAGTAGCAAGAGGGTACAGTGAAAAGATGCCATGACACACTTTTGCCCATTGTTAACAATCATTGTTCCCTCAATCTGTTGATGCCTATTGTTTAATAGGTCCTCCACCCTTGCAAAGGGGAAGAGAGACTGAAAGCCTAATCCTCAAAAGGAAGTGATCTGACCATGACAGGGGAATAACAACAGTGTCTCAGAAATGGCATTTCACTGACCTGCATAGATCAACTTCCTTTAACCCTCCCCAATGTTTTGGGCTTACAGGCCCTATACATCCCTGACCAAAGGTCATGCTGGCAGGAGCTGATGGCTGCTAAAGTCCAAAGCTTCTGAAGGGCACCATGTTGGAGAAGCATAGACACTCCCCTTTTTTCACTCCAGCTAGCAGAATTGTCCATTCAAAATATACAAACTAATGAAGTCTTTTTGCAACTTAAAAATTACCATTTTTTTCTGATTATAGTCCATGAAAAAACTGTATTAGGCTTTAAGATGCCACAAGATAATTTTTTCCCCTGCAGAAGACTAATGCAGCTACCTCCTGGAGAATAGGCAAAGGCATTCATATTTACATATGAACAATATATAAGGGTTGCAAAATTTGAGTTTCACTATTGCTTGGACTCAGCTCTGCATTTATTGTAACTGTTGATATAACCCAGATGTACAATTGTTATTACCGGAGATGCACTGACTCTTAGGGAAAAATATATTCGGTTTTGTTACCTTGTTATCAACCTGCTTGCTTCCAAAGTAAGTCCACTACCTAAAATGCCCATAACAAATTTGAAAGCAAGAGCTGAAGCACAGTCAATGACAAACTTTTGTTCTTTTCATGATTCTATTATACTTGCCTTCCTCAGTCTGGTGCTCTCCAAATGTGTTGGGGTATAAGCTGTCACTAGAAAGTCTGAACTATTCCATTGTAAATATAGCCCCAATTTAGAATTGGAAAAAGAACCTTATGTATGGTTTGTCAAAACTATTACTCTTCATTCTGTTGCAAGATACAAGAAGAATTGCATTTGACTCTCCACAGTGTCAAGGATATTGAACTTTAAAACCCTGCACATCCCACTATATTCCATCCATACCCGTGGGTGTGACATAGCTGCTCTACATAGCGAAGAAGATCCAGTTCATTTGGAAAACAGGCATTATGAATAATCTTTTTAGCCTGATGCACATATTCAGTGAAGTCTTGATTACCCATTATTGCCCATGAAATGGCAAGAAACAAAGCACTTAGTTTAGAGCATTAATGTTTCATTAAAAGTTTATAATGTTGCTAAAAGGGCAGTGACCATAAGTGACTGACTTTTAAAAAACATTTTAAATATTAAAATATTAAATATTTAAAATACTTAAATATTATAGTTCTGTGCTAATATTTCATGTAAAAGACATTTTACTATTTTTTAAAGTCAGAAAAGTGCTTTTTGATTAACACTAATCAAAAGACTGTTTACAAAATTAACAGGGTTAAAATGGTATCCAGTGCAAAGGTTATACAGAATTAAGAGTGGCAAGCTATGATAGGTTAACCTGTTCAGTTTGTATCATGGAGAAAGAAGAGAAGTACTAAGAATGCTCCTTACCTGTGGAGGTCAAATAAGCCAGGTAAGAAATATATAAGAAAATATAAGAAAAGCTGAGGGAAAGCATGGGAGTATGACCACTGCATGATGGTGAGTGAGCCTTGTGTAGAAATAGAAAAAGTCCCATTGCATTCAGTAGGGATTGTTCCCTAGAAATTGCACTTAGGAATACAACCTTAATACGTCATTTCTCTTCTACATACAGGTAAGTTTTTCATGAGCCACCCAGTACAAATTGAATGGTTACTCATAATAACTAACAAGGTGGTGATGTATTCATTAATTTATATCCTACTTTTTTCTTATAACAAACTCACACTAGCTTACAACAATCTCCTCCTCCTCTCAATGTTATTCCCCGCAACAACCCTGCAACTGACTGAGTGGGAACTAGGACTCAGATCATCTGAGTCCCAGTCTTGTGCTCTGCACTACTATACCACACTGGCTTTCAGTGATGTTGAATTCTGCAGAATATTGTATGCAGAGAACTAGCAGCAAATGTACTTTCAGCAGTATACATAAAATGCTATTCTGGATGTGGAGACAATTTAAACAAGTGAACCCTGGCTTTTAACCAATGTAAAGTGCTTTTTTTTCCTCTAGGGATGAAGGAGTTTTTGTCCCTCTGTTGTGGTTAGTAAATAGGTCAATTTTTAGAAGAGGAGAGTAAGGTCACTGTTTCGCCTCTTCCATCTGTAAGTGAAAACATTGATTATTACACTTCTGGGCAGCACAAACGCACCTGTAGTATCTACTCAGCCTATCAAATATTTATCATTGTCCTAGAGAGACTATTTCAGTTGCAAGTAAGGCAACACTTCCTCTTAAACTATGTGAAGTGAGGAAAAAGGGAGCACAAAATCCTAAAGTAATAGTAGAGTAAAACTTAAAACAAAAACAAACAACCTTCCAGCTTACACAACAGGTACAGAAGTCTGCTTCTCAGACTCAGATAGGTTCAAACAGGAAAATTACACAAAGAGAGCTGAGCTAGTCTCCTGAGAAGCAGATGGAGGAAACGGTGCAACCCACTAGGGCCCTAGGCACCTACAAAATGGGTTCCCAATGTGGGCTCCTCAGGAACTCAACTTTTATCTTCTCTTTGTTAATATATGTGCATGGATTTGTACAAAATGCATACAACTTTCTAGCACTCATACAAAGGTGTCAAGAAATGCCAACCAAATATCCAAGTAAGCAAATATGTGAGGCTGCTGTCTGTAGAACACCTATTCATATATCAGAAGCAGTGTAAGGGCCTCAATCCATTGCATATATAAAAATGCAAAGAAATTATAGGAGGAGTTTTAGTGCTAACTGGGAGATCCTTAGGGAATTTTATTGCCTAAACATGCATAGGATTATGTCCTAAGTGAGAATAGTGACCACTGTTTATGTGCAGAGTTCAGTCCAGGATGTATGGGGGTTACATAATTTTATTACTACATTGCATTTATAGTTTGCCTTTTTCCATCCTGAGAAGAACCCAAGGAGGCTTATATACTTCCCTTTGCTATCCTCACAATACCAACAGTTAACCCAAAGTCATTCAGTAAGCTTCATGGCTGAGTAGGGACTAAGAGTAGAACCGGATATCCCAGGTCCTCTTTCAACTCTCAACCACCATGCTACAAACTATGCACTTCTGTCCAAACTTGGGGGTGGGGGGGAGTGTTACCGGACTGAGCCAGTCAACAGCTGGGGCAAACCTGGGTGCACCCCAGCCCCGAGCCAAACAAAGCCTGTGACGAGACTTAGAGCCAAAATCAACTTTATTCTAGTGCACTATAGAATACGAAAGGGGACATTCAGCCCAAAGCAGTGTCTCCAAAGTTGCACCCCAGTACATGCGTTTTATACCCTAGGTAACCAATTAGGTCACCTAATACACATCTAATGCATCGATACATCAATGTATGCACCCCCTCCTGTGCTGGAGAAAGAATCCTTTCTTCTGTCAAGGACCAGACATTTTCCATGTCTATTATTATTATTATAACATTTCTATGCCGCCCCTTGCCGAAACCTCGGGGCGGCTTACAACACAATAAAATACATTGAAATACAATAGAACATAATAAATTACCATTAAATAAAAAATACAAAAAATACATTGAGTTACAAATATAAAATTAAAATTATCAGTATAAAATAAGTAAATACAAATATAGGAGGAGAAAGAGAAGGAAGAAGTTGCCCTGGCCAGATCATATGTTTTAACAATTAAAATGATGTTTAAATA